TCGCGGCGCCCTCCCTCTCCTTTCCTTCACTTCTGTTACCCACCAGGATCCCAATCTTCTAACCACGACAATGACACACGACACATTCCCCCAGCAATTCTTTTTTGTCCTCCACACTTCCACCGCATCATTTCCAGTCCAGATGTTGAAGTCGCGATTATTATTGGTGCCAGAAGGAAAAGAACAGTTTACGTCGGGGATAGGTACAGTCAGAGAGATCTTTCATCCTAGCCGGCTCTGTGTGTGCTGGGAGCTCACGTGGGTGGGAGGCCTGTCTCTCGCTGGGATGCCCAGGGCCTAGCAGGGCCACCTCCCCGCCCCTCCACAGGTGAGTATTCAAGAAAATGTCTTCAGAATGGCCCCTGTGTCAATTTTCCAGGAACAACACTGGATAGTATTATACTTATAGGCAGTGCTTCCGGTTCCCTGGGGAATTCGTGGGTTTGGGGTTTTTTTTGGTGTGTATGTGTGTACTTACAATCTGTGGTTACACACCATTGGCTATTTCAGGGACTGTTCTTCAACTGTTGATGTTATTTCTTTAGAAAATGAGGTTTGAAGCAACAGTTGACATTTATGTGTGTGGTATAAGCCTATATTCAAAGTACACTCATAAAAACTTTGAAAATTAATTTTTTAAAGACAGCATCAGCAAATACCACAGTTCTACTTCTGGGGGCTGTTCTAATCAAAGAATGGTGGTTTTAAGCCATATTAAGTAAATATAAAGAATTGTCTGCACAGACCTAGTTTTGGAATGATTCATTTCTGCCAGCAATTATAATTGCTTCCATTTGTGATGCTAACATTAAGTAAAAGATTTGAGGCTGATTCAGCTATCTTACTCTTCTCATTTAGGCAAGAATATTTAGCTTAATTTGAAACCTGCTTTGGCATAGAACAGTACATTTTCTCCACTTTACTGCAGATAATTCTTTTCCATTAGGGCTTTCATTTTTAAAAAAACTTAATACCATCTCCCTCACCAGTTACTAGATAAGCTCCTAAAAGAAAAAATGGGAAATCTCCTGAAGAAAAATGGGCGGTGGGTGGGAATAAGAATACCATTCTTAGCAAGGTTAATTGAACATGAATGTCAATCTGAAGGTCAAAAAGCTTATTTGACTCACTGGTATCCAGGGTCTAGGCTCAACCTCCATTTTCTTTGAAGCCACACAATAAATTTCTACAGTGTTAAATAAATCCTTGAGTTCATTTATTCAGTGAATATATCCAGCTAGTGTGTCGTACCAGGCCATCTCTTAGCCACAGAGGATTCAAAGATAAACGCCCATCTTAGTCCTTACGGGATTCGCAGGAGATAAGGTAACACAATGACACTTGTACAACAGTGGGGGTTTGTGCCAGAACCAGGGGAGTGCCAAGGAGGGCAGCAACATCAGCCTGAGAAGTGCATCAGAGAAGGCTTCCTGGAGAAGGAAATAAGGTCTTATTTCATCATTTTAATTGCAAAAATAAGGCATGCTCATTATACTACGTAAGAGGAAAACAAAATTTATAAGTAAGCAAACATGCTGTCTTCAATATTTCCCACCCCCAGGCCCACTAGAGAGAGCTGGCTACTGTTAAGAGTTTGACATGAACATTTCAGGTTTTCTTGTACACATATGGATGCATACATAAGCCCTCCTTCAAAAAAAAATAAACGTACGCTATCATACACACATGTCTACCTATAAAAGCACATTGTGGCAACCAGCCTCTAAGAGAGTCCCCAAAGATTGCTGGCTTCCTCATCTTTACACCCTGTGAGCCCCCTCCCACGTTCTACCATAGGTGGTCTGAGGGATGCAGCAGAAGTGATGGTGTCACTCCGGAGATGAGTATGAAAAAGACCGAGGCTTCCATGTTGAATTTTCTTTCTCTTTTATCAGTCAGTCTCAGGGAGAGCCAGATGCCATGTTTCAGGGACACTTCAGCCAGTGGAGGGTTCTACACAGTCAGTATCCGAGGCCGGCTAACAATCCCCTGGGTGACTTTGGAGGCATTATTTACATGGGGAGTTTGTGAGCACGTTGGTGTTCCTGGGGCACAAATCTGTGACAGTGTTGGGAGAAGCAACACTGCAGGTAGAGGCGAGGGCTAGCCCCAGAGAGCCCTGGCTGCCTGGTTAGTGAGCTTGAACTTTGTCCTGTAGGCAACCCTATAAGCAGAGAAAGGTTCTACACTGAAATTGATGTAATCACATTGCATTTTAGATCAGCCTCCGGCAGCTGTGTTGAGAAGGATGGCTCTGAGGGCCCAGAACTCAAAACAGACACATCATTTAGGAAAACTGCAGCAATTGTCCAGAGAAAAAGCTAATGCGGGCTTGAACCAGGGCAGTGGCGTTTGGATTGAGGAGAAGAGACACAGCGGAGAAGTATTTAGCGGGTAAGAGGGATAGGACTTAGTGACTTATTTGATGTGTCTTGGAGTGGAGAGGTGGGACTGAGGAAAGGAGCAAGGATGGCATTAGGAGTTTAGCTTGAGCTCCTGGGTGGACTGTACTGACAACAAATGAAAAACGCATGTGCAGGAGCCCATGCAGTGAACAAGATGAATTTCGTTAAACTGGGAGACCCAGGTGGGAAGGCAGGAGATCCGGGAGTAGTCAGTATGGAAGTCAAGAACATCTAAGTAGATTATCTCTTTCAAAAAAGAGGCCTATTAAATAAGAAATTGATGAGTTCATTTCCGGAAGAGCCAAATTATAGTTAAGATACAGAGAGAGTGCTCACTGCCAAAAGCAGAAGGGACAGCTGACCCTCAGCCTGGGTCTTCCCAGATGAGAGATGCTTTAGGAGGGCCACCCCAGGACCACGGTGTTTCTTAGCTCTTTAGACTTGGAAACACAATCTTGTCAGTTTAGACTTGGAAGCAATTCCCTTAGCAATGATGAGCATCTAGTTACCAGAGAGTCCCACAACTTTCTATTTCTCAGTGGGCTAATTTCTGATATTCCCAAGAAAAAGGCCACATAGCAGGACCAGATCCAGTTACAGCTGATTTCAAATTCCAGCTCCATACTTCCTGGCAATTATGGCTCCTGAGAGCCTTCGTTTCCGTGTCTGGAAAATGGGAGGGCTTCCTTGCAGGGATGTCATAAAAATTAAAGGGAATAAGATACAGAAAGCATCTCGTGTGATGCCCAGGTCACAGACGATGCCCAGTGACCCGAGCTCCCCTTTCCTGCAGTCACTCCTCAGGGCTGTGCTCTGGTTGCAGGGACAGGGGGAACTTGGGAGAGGCAGACAGGGATGAAACTCGAGAACTCAGCTGCCAGGAGACAAATTCTGATTTTCCCAACCTAGAGGGACGACTGGCTGTCCTCTGAATCCAGAGGCAGCTTGGCTTGTGAATTACTGAGAATTCAAAAATCTTGTGCATTCTCTTTCAGGATGCAATCCAGCTCCTTTCCCTCTAGCTTGACAATCCTAGCTCAAGGCACTCACTAAATAAATGTTCCTCCACCCTCCTTCAGATTAACAGACCCCACGCACCCGAGGTAAGTATTATGAAGTAGTGTTCTAAACAGCTCTAACATCCCCAAAACAGAGGGGGGAAAAAAACCAAGAGGGATATTAGTTTTTAAATGACCAGTGTCTGTTTCAAATGATACATGGTAAATTATTTTAATAAAATCTCTTGCATTCTAAAAGGAAAATAAGTCATTTCCTTTCATTGTAAACATGATCTGGGTTAGGTATTTTAGAAGGTCTATTATAAATTCTGCCCATACAGAGAATACCAACCGTGAACCTGCTTTTATTGAGCTGCATACACTTGGTGCAACAGTTTGTCTTTCTTACAGAGGGAAGCAACACAAAAGCAGCTTATGAACAGACCTCGTGCCAGCTCTAAGCATGTGCTTGAGCACCTTGCACCTTACAAGACAGTCATGTGAAGCAGTGTCCTCTCTATGGGGGCCTCTCAAAAACAGTTAGCACTGATGGGTCTAAGAACCAAAAACAGTGAATACTTTCATGAGACAGATATTCACTGAACACTTTCTGGGTGCCGGGCATGGTGTCAGGGCCAAGCCAGAATGAGGTCCTTGCCCTCAGGCCCTGGCCACTGCATCCTGTACTTGACCAGACTTTCCATTTATGCTTCCAGTAGCAACTTTCTAAAACGTCTTCTCAGAAAACATATATTTTCAAGCCCACGCTTTGCTCCACTTTATGTTTCCTTTTTTTTATCTTTGTATCTTGTAAGGTGTCTTGTTTTTCTGCAGAAACCAGGAAATATGTAAATTAGACAAAATACATATATTTTATTTTTGTTCTGATAACTACAAGTGTATTTTGCTCTTTACAAATTCTCAAAAACTTGTTAAAAATTTAATGACAGTTTTTGCCATTTATAACATTTTTTAATTGAAGGACACTTGGTTTACAGAATTTTGCTGTTTTCTGTCAAACCTCAACATGAATCAGCCATGTGAAAGTGAAAGTTGCTCAGTCATGCCCAACTCTTTGCGATCCCATGGACTATGCAGTCCATGAAATTCTCCAGGCCAGAATACTGGAGTGGGCAGCCTTTCCCTTCTCCAGGGGATCTTCCCAATCCAGGGATGGAACCTAGCTCTCTCACACTGCAGGCAGATTCTTTACCAGCTGAGCCACTGGAGTCAGTCACAGGTGTACATATATCCCCTCCCTCTGAACAAAGTTGTCTATTCTACTACTTTTTCTTTTATAACCTAATTTTTTATGGATCATCACACCTTAAGGTTTTTCACGACTTAAGGAGGTAGTGAAGAGGGTTTATGGCATTAATTAGGATATTTCATTATTAGTTATGAATTAACTAAGTTAATTATTTTTAAGGTAATTTCCTGAAACCTTGGTAGGACCTAAGACTTTTTGCCCAGGGACCAGTTTTTCAAAAATTTGATTACAGAGAAATAGGAAGAAAGAAATATAGGGTCATGGGTATAATATCTAACACTATTTGAATAAAAGTAAAATACACGTAAGCTCTTAACTCTCAGCATCCTTTTTTTAAAAATAATTTTATTCACTTATTTTTGGCTTGCTGGGTCCTAGTTGCTGTGCAGGCTTCTGTCTGAAGTTGCAGCGAGGCAGGTACTCTCTAGCTGTGTGCAGGCTTTTTAACTGTGGTGGCTTCTCTTGTTGCAGATCACGGGCTCCAGGCATGTGGGATCAGGAGCTGTAGTTCCTGGGCTCTAGAGCACAGGCTCAAAAGTTGTGGCACACGGACTTAGTTGCTCTGCGGCATGTGGGGTCTTCCTGGACCCAGGACTGAACCTGAGTCTCCAGCATTGGCAGGCTCTTTACCACTGAGCCACCAGGAAAGCTCCTATGTTCTTATGTATGATGGACACCAGTCCTTGAGAGGCTCTCATTCATTCTGCCAAGCACGTAGTAGATGCTCAATAATTAATTGCTGAATGAATCTGCAGTTCTTAACAGCCCTGTTACTATAACCATAGATGTATCTATATTATATAGTGTTATATATAGATACACTGTATTAGAAAAAGTAACCTTGGTGGGGGTGTCATAAAATCATAAATGATCAAGAGATGCCATTTATTGTGATTTTTATCAATAGCAGTCATTATATGTTAAATCACAAATGACAAAAGTGAAATATATCACTATCAATATAATCTACGGAGCTCCCATATTTTAATCCATTTTATAATAGGTTATATTTTAATAGATACTACAAGATACACCATACACCATAACTTCAATTATTCTTAAGATTTTTAAGAAATATGGCTTATGTACCAGGCTTTAAATAGTGAGCCAAAGTCTTTATCAGCTGCCTCAAAATTGATTCCAAAATGAATTTGTAAAATTTGAAATATGAATAGTATATAAAAACATAAAATCTGTATTATCAATAATTTCCTGCTAAGCAGTTCTTCAGTCAGTCTCCTTTGTTTCTGAATGGAGAAGTTTGTCTCAAGCCAGCATGGTAAGACAAACAGGATCATATATCTTTATTGTTTCATCCCAAGCACAGTCAGCCACCTGGAAAACAGAAAGGAGGTGAGAAGAAACAATCCACAAACGTTCAAAATTGGGAGAAAAAAGCCTACGTCACTTGTGTAAGTAGATCATCCACCACAGAACAGATCTTTAAATAGGTGGAACACAGGAACGCGTTTCTGGAAAAAAGTCTATTTCCCCTTTTTAAGATACACTTTGGGGCTTGTTTCCAGCTGACTGAAGTTGCCTGTAAGGGTTTCCCACCAGAGCTAACATAATTCCTGAGATCAATGTTGAAAAGGTACATTCCTAAACTGTGAACCAAGACACCATACCAGCTATTATGGGGATAAAAAAGAAGGTAAAGCATAGTGCCTGCCTTCAAAGAATGGCTCATTCAAAACCAAAAGTGGAAAGTGCTCTAATAGACTCTCAGGGAAGCAATTCTTTGAATCTAGCTGGGAAAGTGTCAGAAGATTTCACAAATGCCATTGCATTCACACTGGCCCTCTTCAGGGGCAGATATGGGGTAGACATAGACATTCAAGTCTAAAAAGTCATATAAAAACATGAAGGGAAGATAGTTCAGGGTGCTCAGGAAACGTTGTGTTAAAAAAATTGGTAGGTATAGCAATATCTCAGGGTATCAAATCAATCGTATTTCTGTATACCAAGAGAAAATTTTTAAACTGCAAATAAAAAATTCATTTAGAATAGCATCAAATAACAAAATACTTAGAAACACATTTAACAAAAGGTATGCAAAACATCTACCCTAAAATGCAGCTGAGAGAAATTAAAGATGGCCCAAATAAATGGAAAAGATACCATGTTCATGGGTTCGATATTTATTAAAAAGTTAATTTTCCCCCTAAATGATTTATAAAAAATTCATAATCTCAGCAAGCTTTTTAATAAGAAATGTAGAAGATGACTTTTAGTTCATGTAGAAAGACAGGGGATCTAGAATAGCCACAAAAATTTTGAAAAAGAACAACAGAGTTATACTGTTTACACTACTGGAGGTGAGACTAATCATAAAACAAAAGCAATCAAGACAGTGCAATACTGTAAGAAGGATATACAAGCAGATCAAAGGAACAGAACACAGGTCTGGAACAGACCCAACACTTGGGCAGCTGCTTTTTAACAAATGTTCCAAAACAATCCAATAGGGAAAGAGAAGTTTTTTCAACAAATGATGCTAGAACTGGATGGCCATATGGAAAAAATAAGAATTAAACCCCAACTTCACACCATAAAACAAAAGTTCATTTAAGATGGATGGATCACGGACTGAAATATAAAAGCTAATGGTATAAAGCTTTTAGAAGAAAACACAGGAGACATATAGTCTCAATCTGAGGGCAAGCAAATATTTCTTAAACAGGAAGTAATAACCATAAAGATTAGATAATAGACTCAATCAAATAAAACTTTTGATCATCCAAAGACACTGCTAAGAAACTGAATAAGCGAGTGGGAGACAATATTCACAAAACAGACATCTGGCAAAGAACCTGTATCCAGAATATATAAATTACTATAACTCAGTAATAAAGACAACCCAATTAAAAAATGGACAAAAGACTTTGTTAACAGATAAGAATATATAAATGATCAGTAAGCACATAAAAACATTCAATATCATTAGGCATCATGGAAATGCAAATAAAAACCACAATGAGATACCATTACATACACACAAGAATGGCTAAAATTAAAGATGTGCTGTGCTGTGCTTAGTCACTCAGTCGTGTCCGACTCTTTGTGACCCCATGGACTGTAGCCCGCCAGGCTCCTCTGTCCGTGGGGTTCTCCAGGCAAGAATACCGGAGTGGGTTGCCATGCCCTCCTCCAGGGGATCTTTCCAACCCAGGGATCGAACCCAGGTCTCCCACACTACGGATGGATTCTTTACCATCTGAGCCACCATGGAAGGCCAACAATACTGGAGTGGGTACCCTATCCCTTCTCCAGGGGATCTTCCCGACTCAGGAATCAAACTGGGGTATCCTGCACTGCAGGCAGATTCTTTACCAGCTGAGCTACCAGGGAAGCCCCAAAAGTAAAGATAGACAACATCAAATGTTAGAAGGGATGCAGAGGAGCTGTAACTCTCATGTGTGTTATGTGTGTTAAGCTGCTTCAGTCGTGTCCAACTCTTTGCAACCCTATGGACTGTAGCCCGCCAGGCTCCTCAGTCCATGGGATTCTCCAGGCAAGAATACTGGAGTAGATTGCCATGCCCTCCTCCAGGGGATCTTCCCAACCCAGGGATGGAACCTGTGTCTCTTATGTCTCCTGCATTGCCACATTGGTTGTTCTTTACCACTAGCGCCACCTGGGAAGCCCGTGCTGGTATAACCACTGTGGAAAGCTGGCTGTTTCTTATAAAGTTGAACACGCACCGAGTGATTTCACTCCTAGAGGGGCTTCCAACAGAACTGAAAACATGTTTACAAAACAGTGTATATAAGCATGTCCTTAGCAACCTCATTCACAATAGCATACAACTGGAAATGACCATAAGACATACAAAAGAATGGCTGACAAACTGCAGTAAATTCAAATAGAATGCTGCTAAGCAACACAACAGAGGGAACTACTGATGGAGGGGGAGCAACATGGATGAATCTCACAGACAGTAAGTGGGTGAAAGAAGACAGAAACAAGAGGACACACAGGAGATGCCATCATGTAAGTTCTAAAACAGGCAAAACTAATCTCGGGCAAAATAAAAAATTAAGGAAATGGTTGTTTTGTCTTTTTAACTGGAGGGAGGGATGGGGCTAGGGAGAGTCTGGAAAGGAGAACAAGGAAATTTGAAAGGAAGATGCAATTGTTTTGGATTGCAATGAGATGTAGATTACACAAGTGTATCTGTTTGTCAAAAACCTATATATAAGATTTGTACATTTCAGTGTATGAAAATGACACCTAGAAACAGTAAGAATAATAATGATGGTAATAAAAATTGAATGAGGACATGAATAGAAGAATAAACAAAACAAGAATGTTGGTAACTGTCAAATCTGGATAATGGAATTGTATTATCCTATTGTTTACTTTCTATACATTTGAAATTTTCCAGAGTAAGTAAGAGAAGGAAATGAAAAAATGTAGACAGTAACATCAAGGATGAAGCAGCTAGAGAGGGATTTGACCAAAGTTATTTGCACTGTATTTCCCGTCCTTTAATGGTTGCAAAGGCTGAAAGTTACACAAGGGAACTCAAAGTCTCAGTCAATCAAATTACCTGGCTGTCACTATAGAATACAGGAACTGCAGAGATTAATCAGAACACAGAGTAAAGTGAAAGTTGCTCAGTCACATCTGACTCTTTGCAATACCAACGCACTATACAGTCCACAGAATTCTCCAGGCCAGAATGCTGGAGTGGGTAGCCTTTCCCTTCTCCAGGGACTCTTCCCAACCCAGGGATCAAACATAGGTCTCCTGTATTGCAGGCGGATTCTTTACCAGCTGAGTCACAAAGTAAGCCCAATCAGAACAGATAAACTCCTTATCATTCACTAACAGTATCTCAGCTCAGAACCCAAGGTAGAGAAAGCATGAGAGACCTTTCAGTCAAACTTTTAAAATTTAGGCATTAAAAACCAGACTCTTCAAGATTTGGTTGCTACCTACTTCTGTTTCTCCATGCACCAGGCTCACACACTCAAATCCTGGCATCTTGTCCATGCCTCTGTGCTCACGTCTTCTTACTGATCCCCTCCCCTGAATAACCTTTCTCTTTCCCTTCCTCTCTGGTCCTTATCTTGCTTTGCCTGGAGATGACACCTCTTTGCAGAAGAATCCATTTAAGCATTACCTCCTCTGTGAAGTCATTCACTGTACCTATAATATATCAGCTGTGCTTATTTATTAACAAGTGTTTCCAGGTCTTTGAGGGCATGGACCATGTTGTGCTATAACTTAACAATGATTCAAAAAAGATTAGCTCAAAGAATGAGTTTTATAGATTAAGACTGCAGACCTTAAGTTTTTCTCATATTCACACTACAGCAGCAGAGGTGGATCCAGAACCTAACACTGCTGAGTCTGTCCACTGAAAATCGTGGCCTCACACTCATTATCTGCCTAATCCTGCAACTGTAAATTTTTATACCCCAAAACACAAAGATTATTATACAAATTTATTTGTCTCATTTATGTATACAGTTTTTCAAGTGCTGGGCCTTTCTGTATGTTGTGTCAACTATTACAGAAAAGATAATCAGGGAAATGAGACAAGCTTCTAATAAAATGTATCTGTAACTTATGTTTCTGAATCCTTATTTAGCACTCTTCAATCCAGCTTCTTACCTACTGAGAACTTATATTTATATATAAATAAATAAATAAATAAAACTAACAAATGTCAAGGCCACTGAATCAGCAAATGTTCATAACTCTACACTAAATTAATTGATAATATGAGAAAGACCTAAAATTGCAAGGATACAGAATCATGACTAGATTATGGGCTTCCCAGGTGGTGTGAGTGGTAAAGAATCCGCTTCCTAGTGCAGGAGATGCAAGACATATGTGTTTGAGCACTGGGTCGAGAAGATCCTCTGGAGAAGGAAATGGCAATACATTCCAGTATTCCTGCCTAGAAAATCCCATGGACAGAGGGGCCTGGTGGACAAAAGTCTATGAGGTTGCAAAGAGTTGGACATGACTGAGCATGCACGCACAGCCAGTATTCCTGCCTGGAAAACCCCATGGACAGAGGGGTCTGGGGGGCTACAGTCCAAGGGGTTGCAAAGAGTTGGACATGACTGAGCACACATGAATAGACTGATTCAAATTAATGCAAACACTCTTTACACATTAACTAATTAAAATTTAATTAAACCCCATCCAGTGCTGGGCTTCTCCAGTAACTCAGTGGTCAAGAATCCTCCTCCTTGCTAATGTAGGAGACACAAGTTCAATCCCTGGGTCTGGAGGATCCCCTGCCGAGGGAAATGGCAACCCATTCCAGTATTCTTCCCTGGAAAATCCATGGGACAAAGAAATCTGGCGGGCTACAG